TCTAGGGCCTGGCACCTTTCCTGCATTGAGCCAGCTAGCTTAATCCTGGATACTAAATCCAGACCAAATTTTACCAAACTGTTTATGGAACTGCATGTGTCACCTTTCTGGGTATCTAGCAGTGACACAGGTAAGCACAGGATGAGGGTCAGCCTGGCTGTGGGTGGGCAGAAGGCGGTTCTTTCCCAGGGAAGGGCTGCAGCCCAGCGGCAGGGCTGTTGTCTCCCAAGTGTCTCAGCCGGATGATGTTTCTAGGATGAGCTTTATTTCAATGGCACAGATCGGCAGCTGTGACAGCTCAAAGCCACTATCAAGTTTTTGCAGAAGACACTCTTTTTTTGGTCCTTCTTAGTTCTGCTGCTCCTTCCTGTAAAGCGTTCAGTGTCATTTTTATGCTCTGCTCCAGTTCAGCTCAAATTTAATAAATTCTTTTTACAAGAACACAAAGCCACATTGGCTGCACTTTCACTTGAGAAGTAACACTTCAGAGACCAAACCATGGAAAGTTACAAAGTAGATGGTGCCTGTATCAGTATCTGCTTTCTGGGTTACAACCTATTTATTTCTACCTGCCCAGAATTAGCTTTACATTATTTCTCATTAACTTAAAGTCAACACTGTATTTTAATTTTATATTTATAAATATTCATGTGTTTTCACTATTTTGTGAATAATTTGCTCATACCTACTTCATAGAAAGATCTTGGCCACAGTCATGAAAATAGGTGTTTAGCAGGAAAAACCTGAGCCAAGGAAGATTTCAAAAGGTGTATCATGAAAGGAACAAATGAGATTTTTGTTCAGAGAATGCAATTATTTGTCATAAGCTTATTTTTAGTTACTTAAGTATTTAGATAAACAAAACTAATACATGAATGTCTAGGAGCCACGCTTGGAAGCTTCACTTCTGTACCCACACAATGAGTACAATGAATACATTTAGATCAATAATTTGATACATGTTTTACCAGCAAGGAAATTTAATTACACACTCCATCCCACTTCACCATGCGGCTTCTCTCATGTGACTACCCTCAACTTTTTTCTTATAATCTATATCTGGCTTCCCCCACACTGTAACCCAGTGTCAATTCTTTCATCACCCAACTCATGCAGGCTAGTACCTCCCTGTAACACGCTAAAAAAAGAAAAGGATGGGGAAAATCAAAGTGGAACCCACATGAATTCTTGGTGCTTCCAAAACCAGGAGAGGCAACTCAAAGAAAAAAGACAATAGCACCATTTGACACGTAATCAAGACTTTTTCTACAGATTCTGTTAATACCTCAGAAACCTAAACACATGACTCCATTTAAGGAATTTACTTGTGTTTAAAAGTTATCAATATGTTTAGCAGCTTTGCAGTATGACATCTGTAAACACAACAGAAGACAGAATGCAAGTTCAGTTTTAAACAGACTTTATTAACTTCAAGCAAATTGCCACTTCCCAACATCTTCCACCCAAATGACAAGCGTACACATACTGTAGAAGCTCGCTCTATCTCCAGCAGTATCACAGACTGGTCCTGCTTTCTGCGCACGGGGCAATACACACATAAAGGTTCTTCCCAGGTTTAATGCCACTTACCCTATGTATGGGAGATAAAAGGATTATTAAAAAGGTTTATTAAAGGAATCAGAATATTCTACAGAAAAACTTTTAAGCAGTTTCTAAGTTTTAAGTTATAGCAGCATACACCAAAGTAATAAAAACACATTCTAACTGCGTGGGGCTGAACGCTTGGCAAACTAAGCCTGTTAAATGTGAAGCTCCTTGTCACCACAGGGGAGAAGGAAACAGCAATGGGCACAGTAGACTCAGTCAACTTTCTCTAGGTAGGGCCTTCGGGTGAGGCTACAAATTATTTCTTTGTGTACAGGAGGAAAAGATAAATTATCCTCCCTCTTAGATCAGCTGAGAAATAGTTCCATACAGAAACACTGTAGCGCAGCTGGTTCTCTTTTGCAACAAGCAGCAACCACTGGAATCCATCTGACTGCAGTGGCAGAGACCACAGGCTACTGGGACAGGTATTGCCTAAAACTGGAGAGGTTCCTTATCAGTGCCAAAAAGTCCTCAGTTCCAGAGGCTTTTGAAGCCAGAACTAAAGATTTTCTACTGTTGGCACAAGAAGTATCAGCTGAAGCCTATACTGGCTGGAGGACTGAACTCCATTTGTTTTTGAATAGCCCTCGGCCAGTCTCTGCCCAGCATCGTGGAACAGTCTGGGTTAGAAGGGACCTTAAAGATCACCAAGTTCCAACCCCCCGGCCATGGGCAGGGATACCTCCCAATGGATCAGGTTTTCTAAAGCCCCATCCAACAATAAAGTTGGAGAGAATTAAAATAAATGAATTTAAAGAAAAAAAAACCTGCATCTTCTGGTAAAATATTTACTAGGTAGAACATACATGTGTTTTAACTATGCATAATGGCAGATTTTTTTTCCTGAATTTCACAGTTGTACTGATTGTTCTATCATCTTAAGAAATCTGCATTGAAACAGTGATGCTTATTGACCTACATTTAAGCACAACAAAAAGATCTCTTCAACCAGAAACAATACAAACACAAAAACGTAACAAATTCTAATACAGCCAGTATGTTTGAGGAATTATCAGTACGGCAGCAGTGCTAATCAATTCTACATTGGAACGCTGGAAACCAAAAGATTAGGACAGAACTACACGAGGAGCATTTTTCATATCGTTTATAGGACAGAAACCTTTGTTCATGTCTTCTGGTAGCCATCATCTTCTTTTGAGCTGCACCTACAACACAAAGAACAAGTAAACGAGCAACTTTATGCTTCTCCAGAATAGCTTACAACAGTTCTGTAGGCATTAAGGGGCATCTCTTCTACTGCTTTGTTTCTGCATCACCAGCTCAATTCATTGTTTTAAATTCCTATTTTAAGAATAAAGTACAAAGCAACAGAAAGAATAAGCTATTACTACATCTGTGTAAAACTGCCCTCAGAAGCGCTGCCTACGCTGTAAAAGTGCAAGTTACTTTCTGTATTTAACTAGTGAGTACTTCATTAAAGTCAAAAGCTAATTTTTTTTTTTTACTTTCCTGTACAAACAAGATACCTTAATATGTGGAAATAAGGAGGGATTATTTCTTTGATTAAGATTTTTACAATATAAATTGAGAAGAGACAGGCTGAAGGTTCCAAATAGGCAAACAAAACCCCCCATCTCCTGCTCGTTTTCGTAGTTAGTTCATTACATCTCCTCGGTGGGGTATTCCCCACCAGCAAAATGACTGCTTTGGGTCATTTTTCCATTCTTGAGTGCACAAAGAGTGCATGACTGTTGCCATTATGTACCTAGATGGATACAAAAACCCTTCTTAGTTCAAAGAAGTATTATAAAGTACGTGAAACCACTGGGGTTTTCACAGCTTGTCAGAATATCTTAATCAAAACGAAAGACGTGAACTTAACGTGGTCAAAGAGAACATTAAAACAGCAGTATGGACCTGAAAAGTTTGAATTTGTTTTCCTCACCCTGTATAACCAACTCAAATGCTTCAAGCCCTTTTAACTCGTTGCTAAATGTTTATCTACACATGCTGTCAGAAATAACCTTGTTAGGAAGGTGAAGTTGGTGTCTCAGCAAATCAGACCCATGGAGTAGGCGTTGAGTGGCCTGTGACTCGCTTTCCTTTTTCTCTTTCAGCACCATCAAAAGGAAAAGTGAGAAAAACAGCACAAACATTAGTTAAAGCCTGAATTTAATCCCATGTCCTACAGGAACAATTTCATTACAATGAAAGCAGACAGACAGTATCTGTAGGGGTTTTTTTTTTGCTCTGTTTTTGCTTAAGCAGTGATATTTATATATATTTAATAAACATAGCCTATAGCTCTCCCAAAGATTGTAACGTTTAACAATCCCTTTAATTAAACGATTAATAGGAAATGCAGGGGCGGTTCTTACGAATTACCTGATTTACCATCACTGAAGACAGATTCTTTTAAAAATGGCTACAAATGCCTTGTTCACAAAAGACTTTATTATCTAATGATGCATACTGAAAACATACAGAAATCTGCATGGTCCACTTTACATGCAGCAGAACAATCTTCACTTTACAGTAAGTAAGTGTCAACTGTTTTATGCAAGAGACAACACTTTAAAGTCACATTTCTTAAAGAAAAGCCTCATTTACAAAAGAAATAAAAGGTAAAGAAGCAATTACCGCTTTTAAAAAGCAGCTGCTTTGTTCAAGAGTGGAAGGTTTATGCCTGTATTGAAAGACAACATGATCACAAAAAATGAAAACAATGAACAAATGAAACACTTTTAGCATAAAGCAGTACACTTTCAAAATGACATACAAATAGTTAAAAATTTCTTTATGTTGTCTATCTGTCCTTTAGATATAAGGTCTTTCGAATGAGATCCCAACGTACGTAATTACTAAATGAAAACTCTTCTGTATCGGTTCTATGTCATAGTGAACTGTATTTAACAAAATGTATACAAAGTCTATAGCAAGTTGATTAAAAAAACTAAAGTAATAAGAAACAGTACACTGAAGGCGCTCTATCCATCAAGTGCGCACTCTCCGAGTTTTACGTGTGATGAACAGAACAGAAGTTGTAACTATGCCACGGTTGCGATGCCAAAAAATAAAACGAGATCAGTTATCAAACATGCAGGGAATTCTGCCACAACGCTATTGTCTCTCATTTGTCAGTCGCTCCAGTAAAATAACAGCTTAAACACCGGTGATGTTGATGGGTTAGCTTACCTTCAGTGTACTGAAAGTTGTACACAACCTGCTTTAAAAGAGGAGACCATCCCTGCGGGCAGGCTCAAGAAGGAACAGACCCCCTTCGGCACTGACTACACCAAGGGCATGCTGCTGTGGCCTGCACACACACACCTAGGAAAATGTGAATATAAACAGCATTTATGCTGGCCATTTTGTAAAGACAAAAATGAAGCCAAGTCTGCTAAAAACAAATCAACCACCCAGTATTACTGCTCTTTTTTTTTTTCCTCCTTTTTTTTTTTTCTTATAACAGATGCTTTTTTCTCTTTATAATTTATACGAACTGCAACCATATACATTAGCATTGTACTTCTGTGCAGTCTTGGCAATTAAAACAGTTCTACAGTGAAAATTTTCACATAAGACACAAAACAGAATTACTCTAACATTTCTAAAAGAAATATCAGCCTTGATGTTAATTCAAATGTATCATTTCTTCCTCAACTTTGCAGGGGAAATATTTATGTTTATATACATTAATAACTGCTGTGAAATTTCTTCAGTCTTTGTATCTTAATTACTCAAACCCTTTGAACTTCTTCATCTGGCTTAAATTTTTTCCTGGATGAAGGCGTGCTGCAGAGCCTGGTTGATGCTAATCCGTTTAGCCGGATCCAACATTAGAATCTGGTCCAACAAGTCCTTTAGCTGGTGCACTTTTTTACGCTGGTCTTCAGGGAGTCGTTGGCACCCAATCAAGTCTGCTAATAGGTCCTTGGTTGGATTAATGGTGCTCATGACAGTAACTTTCTCCTGCAAATACAAAAAAAAGGCGACCTTGTGAGAAGAGAAGTCAAGCGCCGGAACCCTCCTGCCCCTTTTACAGCAGCAGCTGTGCCACAGGGTTCTCTCCTATCTGATCAGGTGGGCAAATGAAAACAAGTGGCAATAACACGGTCAGGGCTGGGCTAGGCTGCAGCTCTCCCCAACAGCGGCTGTGTACACAAACCTCAACATCCCAGTTAACCCAGAACATAGAAATTCCCGTATCTGACCAGAAATTCTGTGATTCTTGACAAACACATGACATTAAAATGGTACGGAAGCTAACACTGACCTCCTACAGCGTAAGTGCATCTTACTGAAGTTGGACATCCTTCTCTAAAATGGAAGGCAGGATTTATTCTTTTCAGTAATTCAAGGCTAGATTATGTAGAGATACCCCGTATACCTACCAAGATTAAACTTGGATTTCTCTTAAATGCATTCCTCAATCGTCAGACAAAAATCTCTGTTTCAAGTTTGTTACTACATAATCTGTCCATACTGCTGCAAAAGGACATTCTCACAGTTTTTATAAAATCTCATTTTTAATTAAAATGCCAAGATACATTTGAAAGATGGTAATAGTAGGAAAGCTTGGCAAGAAGGAATGGGTTACCTGACATATAAAGGACTTACCCTTTCTGTCACTTTATCTACTTCTATATACATAAAGTTGAGATTTTGATCAAAGTGCTGATCTTTGAACACACCTTTTCGAATCATCTGGAAAACAAGGGAAAGACAAGAGTTTCAGGCAAGTTCTCTGTGTCTTACAAACTCCACAATTAGCATCAATGTCTCCTAACTTATCGCAACATGAATAATTTAATACTAATGAAAAATATATCAAAAAGACAGCAGGAAAGGTCTAGACTGAGTAAAAAAAAATACAGTTCAAACCAGTTGAAAAAGGACACAGTATCTTCCATTGACTTACGTATTTTCAGGTCAGTGCTTAGAAGGTTTCTGCTTTCACTTTACACTTAGTCTATGAAAAAGAAGCTGTATACTTTCACTTCATAAGATTTTAAATCAATATAAATTATAAAATCAGAGCGATCTGACATTTACTTGCTGTTAAGAGAAGATGTATATGATAAGAAACAGAATTCAGGGAGAAAAAATAAACTATGTTCTACTGTTCATGGTAGCAGTTTCAGATATTAATTAAAAATCATGTTTTCCTCACCTTGTTTGGCATCTTTCCTTTGAGATCCATGGCTAGTTTCAACATATGATTATTGGTTTTGCCAGGAAAGAGGATTTTTCCTGTATAAAGCTCATATAACGTGCAGCCTACAGACCACATATCTATACCATAGTCATAGACTTTTCCTATAACTGAAACAGAGCAATTCCAGTTAATTCCATAAAGGCAATGTAAACAATGTAATATCACAAAAGCAGACAGATGAAAAAATTCTGATGTGTAAAATGTATCGGTGCTCCTCCTCTTAGGAGTAAGAAGTCACCAAAAAGGGAGGATGCGAACCTTTTAACTTTTACCACATCTCTGTTTTAGAAGAGAAGGTTTTCACCTAACACCCCAACTAATCAGCATGAATTTAGTTACAAAACAAGGAGTCAGAAGAATACCTCTAAATTAAAACATAACTATAACCAATCAGAATGACTTCTCCCTGTCTTGACTGAGCTGACATGAAGAGTCACACAAGCAAGCTTTCAAAGTCTGAGGTTTTGACTGCCATCTTATTTCCAGAGTGATGTTTTGCTAAGACCAAACAGAGAGTAAATTCACGTCAAAGTCTCATTTGCTAGTAGCCGTACCGCCTGCTACCGTTTACGATACACGTAGCCAATCCAAATGTACTTACTGATTTCTGGAGCTCGATAAAATCTACTAACTAGATACGGCGTGATGTCATTATCTGCAACATGAGAAGCTGATCCAAAATCACAAAGCTTTAATATCGTTTTAGACTCGTTCACCTGAAAGTTTAACATAAATGTCCATTAGCACGATGTTTTAGATAGAATTGCCAACAGGACAGTCAAAGCAACGATACATTTAGGTCAGAGATGAGAAAAACATTCAGCCTTTAAACTGCAATTTCTTTCCATATTTCAATCCTTCCTCTTTGAACTCTAAGGAAATTATAAAACTTTCTTAAAATCAAAGTTACAGTTAATGTCTGACTTCCCTAAATTAACAGAATTAGATTAATTTTAAACACTTAATTTTACACTACAAACGGTGCAAAATAAGTTCCAATTACTTATTACTTACCAAAATATTATCTGGTTTAATATCTGCGTGTAGAATATTGCATCTTTTAAGGAGTTTTAAAGCCAGGAACAACTGCTGGCTGTAGGAACGCACAGCTTTAATATGGAGCCCAACATCTTTCCCATACTTCTTCAACACCTCTCGCAAATTCATACTAGTAAAAGAAAAGAAAGAATAGAAAAGAGCTTAACAAAGGAAAACACAGCGGCCTCCTAAACTCTCAGACAAACTCGAACAAGCGGAAAGTAACATTCAACTTCATAGATGTACTGCTCTATTCACTGCAGCTAGGAACACAAATGCAGGTCAGTCAGATCTATCCTGTACTGCATAATTACTTACTAAACTGGACTTACTTAATTCAGAACACGTTTTTAATCAAGGTTAATTTGAGAGGGTTTATTTTTCACATGGACAGCATTTTTTTTAACAACCGTAAAGCTTTTGCACTTGCTTCCTTCAGAAATAATAAAAAAAAAAGGCAGCACGCAAAAGATACAAGTCAAGGAGGTGATTTTTTGGTGATGTAAACAGCAGACAAAAAGACCACTATTCCGGGACAAAAACATCATTGGATACAAATAATGTACAAAAGTCTTACAAAGAGATAGTGCAGCCCAAGAAATAATTTATTTTATGGCTTATTAATTAAAACATTAACAGTAATTTCATAAAATTTTCAATGCTTCAGCATATAGTTTCTTTTGAGCTCAAATACGACAAAAATTGGAATACCATATTACATAGAAAACTTAGGATATGAAAAACTGTCTCCAAGAAAGAATGGGAACTAAGGCAATTAATATATCCAGATCTGTCATAAAACAGTGTCTACAATTAACCTGTCAAAACACATTAATTATTTAAAGAAAAAGTGAGCTTGCAAAGAAAAAGAAACAACCGTAACAATTTTCTTCCTTAGACTGCTGTCATCTATGCAGACTTCACAGAACACACAGTGCCTGCT